TATTCTCACTTGGATTACAAACCCTAACATTCTAATATTAAATCCACCAAGTGAAGTGCAAAAATCCAAATTATTGAAGTCCACCTTATCACAACCCGCACACCCGATTACCTAAATATACATGAACTTACGGTTAAAGCTCAACAGCTGGCCTCTGTAGCTCAGTTGGTTAGAGCGCTGCACCGGAATTACAGGGCCGTAGGTTCAATTCCTACCAGAGGACCTTGTGCTGCATTTTTCGCAGTCGTTCCTGGTTAGGTCTTAAAATATATATATTCTCACTTGGATTACAAACCCTAACATTCTAATATTAATTCCAACAAGTGAAGTGCAAGAATCCAAATTATTGAAGTCCACCTTATCACAACCCGCACACCCGATAACCTAAATATACATGAACTTACGGTTAATGCTCAACAGCTGGCCTCTGTAGCTCAGTTGGTTAGAGCGCTGCACCGGAATCGCAAGGCCGTAGGTTCAATTCCTACCAGAGGACCTTGTGCTGCATTTTTTGCAGTCGTTCCTGGTTAGGTCTTAAAATGTATATAATTCTCACTTGGATTACAAACCCTAACATTCTAACATTTGAAATTAAGGATTTGGAGGTTTTGCGATCACTGATAACTTGATAATAATATAAAACAAAACACTTATATCTTCAACTTTTACTATCACTGATAACTTGATAATAATTTAAACCAGTCAAGTTGTAGTTTAAATAGAGAATAATACATGGGTGCACGAAATACCAGATTTATTTCGAGTGTTGAACATGAGTGCGGAGCGAACAAGTGAGCGCATCGAACGAGTGAGATGTCATGTTCAACACGAAAAATAAATCTGGTACTTCCAACCACCCATGTATTTTTCTGTTTATTATATAAAGGACAGTCTTTGAAAAGCGATAATTTTTACAGAAAAGCGATAATTGAAAAGGCGATAATTTTCACATGTGTGATTATCATGAATAATTTCACATGTGAGATTATCATTTTTATCAGTGCTCGAAATCTCTTTAAAATACTCATTAATAATTCATAAGCCTTGTGGCAAACATGTCAGCCATAATATGTCACGTGGAGTGACTTTATATCTGATAAAACACATGTGGCATTATATAATTGTTCATCTTAATTAGCATGATTATACTATGGTTTATCCTAATTAGTATTCTTTTGTAGTCGTATTTTAAGCTATTCAAAACACTCGTTGTCGTGTTTTATCAGATATATAACGTTCGGCTGCGCCTCGCGTTATATATCTGATAAAACACTCCTACTCGTGTTTTAAATAGTACATAAAACACTATACTTTATATGATAAAAATTCATAAATTTGAACCACGCTAGACCATGACAACAGCAAAATGCTCTATAGTATGATGCACAAAATTTTGGGAGATGAAATACACGAACAATAAATCAGAGAGTGTTTGCGTGAATGCGTGAAACTCACTGGTGGGGGGGGGTGCAACACCCCTGATAATTGCTCATGAGGAATTTCAGGTAGATTTCCAGTGCACTTTTAGGTAAATTTAAGTAGATTTGCAGAAGATTTTCAGGGGAATTCAGGTAATTCTCAGGACATGAGAAAGTGAATTTGGAAAACAACTGTATTTTCGGAAAAATTATTATATGTCCTGAAAATTTTTTGTACATCTGGAAACATTTTGGTAACCTCCCCCCCTCTATCTAACCTCACACACACCCTGAGACGAAGTGCTAGCAACGGCACTGAGTATACATCTTTTGAAAACAGGCGAGGGGTTATTGCATGCATGTATTTCTAGTTTATTAACTGAAGGAAGGCGGGACATAAATAAAAATATTTCCCAGGAAATATGGATTTTTATGTCACGCCTGGATTGACACGATTAGATGACATAATAGCTTTACCTTAATCTATGGCGCGCCGGTTGAAGAGGCAGGAAATTTCAGTGCCTAAAACTACGTAACAGTGCCAAGATCAAGGTCGGATTCTTGGCATATAACGAAGATATAGCACAAGTAATTTCATAAGTCCACACGACTTGTATCAGAGCGAAACACTTGAACTTACCCACCTCCTCCCACCAGGCCTGCCAGCTATAATTAGATTTTGTGGTTTAATTAGTTATACACACCTCCTGGCGTGTAGTCCTGCCACCTTTACTGGCAATTGAACATCAATATATAAATCAAAGTGAACTCTAGTATTATTCTGATGATTAAAATATGTTATTATTGATTTTTATATAATCATTTTCAATAAAGCGGCTATGAATTGTTCATAGCCAAAATTTACCCATAAAGTCATTGTCCATTTATTGCTTGCCAGTAAACATAGCTTGGTTAATGCAACGCTAATTAGATATCCGTAGTTTATTAACTGAAGGAAGGCGGGACATAAAATGAGCTTGCAAAATCTATGGCTTCACTTTGCTGGGCAAGCCAGGGCCAAATGTGACAGGTAACGCGACCAAAAACAAAACATATTTAATTTATTCAGAATTAGTTTTTGACAAATGTTTCTCAAAAATATATCACACTGCTTATGTATTACTTAAACGAAATAAAAACGATGGTTTTACAAGCGTATTTTCAAGGTAAAGCCAGTGTAAATATATAGTTTTTATTGCTAGAAACAAATGCGTTAGAAACATAAATATTCTGATGGTGGCGTTGTAAAACACAAAGGTTGAAGTAAATTGAGATTAAAGCAATATGAATTTGCATAACCAATAGGATATAAATGGATATTATTACGGGCGGTCGTGGACATTTTCAGGCGAACAATCATTATTTTCGCTGCGCTCAGCACTTTTTCGCGTCCGTGAATATACATTTCTCAAATCTGTTTACGGTTTAACAGACGAACTTGATATCTTTTAACTGTTATTTGTATCAATAAACATGCTTTAAACTTTGCAAATGTTGCGTTGTTATGTGTTGCTAAGTCATTAGGTGACATGTAGGTAATTAAAGGATAAGGCAAACAAAAATGTGCCTAAGTAAGTGTATCCCAATGGATAGGTATGGATTATTTATAACGCAGGTGTATGCCTTAAAATCGGGCGCGAGGCCTTGCGGGCAAAAATTTACACAAGAATTTAGATTTAAAACCCATTTATTTCTTCAAAACGTTTACGAAATTATATTTCTAATATATATCGTCACTTATTTGAGAAGTATCGCTATCCGATTCCTCGTCGTGGTTGCTTTCATCATCGTCGTTGCTTTCGTCTTCCATAATCCATTTGGTACGTCTTGGGACTGCTATATGAGAGCACAGTTTTAGCCTCTTTGTGAAAAATTACTACGTTGGCCTTGTCTTCTCTTGCGTCCGCACCCTGCCTGATGTAGTAGGACCTTTGCTCCTTGCTCGGCAAAGTCTTTCGTGAATGTTTGCGTATTCTCTTACGTTTTTTCGTTTGGAGTACATCTTGACCGACTTCTGTTGCAGCTTTTAATGTTTTTTCCCGGCAATTTTGGCACCTTGTTTGAATAGAGAGATAACATATCTCGCAAGGCTCTTGAAAATCCCTCCAATCCCATAACCTCTTTGAAAACGTGCACCACGATACACAGCGATGTTTCCACCATGTCGTCGTCTCAGGAAATGGCTTTTAATAGTTTTGCGTCCACAACAAGCGTACCTCTCGCATATTGATGTATTAGTTTAACTTTAGATAGATAGATAGATAGATAGATAAACTTTATTTAAACACATTGGCCTTTTCAGCAAAAGCTGATTTCCAAAAGGGATGTGTACTTACAAATTATTATTTATATACTAGCTCTAATATTACATACATAACAAATACAATTATATACCTATTTAGACAAAAAATTAACTACTACTTTAAGTCGAGATTAGGGTCGAGGAAGATAGCTTTTTACAGAACGAATTATACGATACCGAATTGCGTATTTCTTCAGGTTTCTGATTCCATAGTTTAGCCCCACTATATTGGAAGCTTTTTTTTAAGGATTCCGTTTTTGGTCTTGGAATATAAAACCTTGTTGAAGAACCTCTCAGATTATGGTCATGAATGGTATTCAGATTTTGGAAAGCTTCGCATAGTCGTTGGGGGCTAAACCATTAACTGTCTTGTACATGAGCCTGGCTTTCATTTGTGCCCTACGCTCTTCAAGTGTTACCCAGCCTAGAGATTTTCGTGCCAAAATAGACTGACCATGTTCATTTTTTAAGTTCATGATCAACCTAGCCGCTCTGTTTTGGAATTTCTGTAGACGTTCACTTAGGCCTTTATTAAGTGTATCCCATACTTCACAGCAATAATCAAAATAAGGTTGGATTAAGGCATTATAAACTTATCAAAATGTCTTGTTCGACATACTCCCTCATTTTTCTAATAGCCCCAATACCTGATGATATTTTACTGCTAATATGGTTAATGTGTTTTTCCCAACTGAAGTTTTCGTCTAATTCAACTCCAAGAGCTTTGGTATTTTTAACTTTTTTAATCAATTGATTATTTATTTTAACTCCTTGATCGGTATCAATATTACTTATTTTATGTCGTGTTCCAATTAAAACATACTCGGTTTTCGCTATATTTAGAATTAGTTTATTTGCACAAAGCCATTTCTGAACATTCCTCATGTCTACGCTCGCCCTCTCTTCCGCCTCACTAATTGTTCTGCCTACTGCCGTTAAGTTAGTATCATCAGCAAACATTCTTGGAGTTGTGCGTTCTAGGCAGCTTGGCAAATCATTTATATACATAATAAATAAGAGAGGGCCGAGTATACTTCCCTGAGGAATGCCACAAATGATTTCTTTCTCCACCGAGAGTATACCGGCCAATTGACAACTTTGAGTTCGGTGCGTCAAATAGCAACGTAAAAGATTTAATGCTTTCCTTTGGAAACCATACATTTCAAACTTACTTAACAGTATTTCGTGGTCGACTGTATCGAATGCTTTTTTTAGGTCAAGAAAAACAACTAAGTCATACAGCACACGGTCCATGTTGGTATACCATTCGTTCGTATAATCCAATAATGTAGTAGTTGTGGAATGATAAGGTCTGAAACCAAATTGGTGTTTTGAGAAAAGATTATTCTGGTTAAGATACTCATTCATTTGATCATACATAATTCTTTCCATAAGTTTACTTACTACAGGAAGGATTGATATCGGTCTATAGTTGTCCAACATGGACCGCTGACCTTTCTTAAACAATGGAATAACCCTTGCAGCTTTCCAATCAGAAGGAAATTGATCCGAGACAATTGACATATTAAAAATCTCAGTAAGAGAGGTGCAATAACTGGAGCTGCTACTTGTAGAATTTTAGCTGAAATTTTATCCATTCCAGTCGCTTTGGTGGTAGACAAATTAACTAGAAGAGTGTAAACCAATGTTACACTCACTGTGAGTGAGTAGGGCCGTACACAGAAGGGGGGCAGCAGGGGCAGTTGCCCCCCCCCCCCAGAGAAATCTAAACTTGCAATGTTCAAATAAACGCAAATAATAAAAAAATTATTTGGCTAGTTCAAGCATTTGAAATTAAAGAACGTGTTAGGTATGTAATGTATAGTGTGGTGTAAAATAAAATAATTGAATTTTATTTTATTTATTTTGTTCATATATTTAAGGCTTAAAATTTAAGCGATTTAGATTTGAATTGTACTCTTTCGAGGTAACTAGGTACCAGACTACCAACCAGCATCAAATCTTTCGGCCGGCCGCCATACTTGATATTGTATTGATTCACGCTCGAAATCTCATAAGTCACACTCGAATGCTCTTCAGTTATTTTAAAATTTATATATAATGGAGCCAAATGCTAAAAGGCAAAAACTTCGTCAAACAACTCTGTTATTTAAACCAGCCAGTGCTAGTTCAACCAGGTATAAAGAATATAATTTATGTGCTTTGATATTTTTGTTCTGTGACTTTCCGACTTTGCAAGTTGAAGTTTTATTTGCTAAATAGTATTAAATAAATATCATGCTGAAGTGACTGTAAAGTGAACCAGGATTATAAATTAAATATAAATAAAATAAGATCATCTGCTACTGCTAGTGCTGGACATTGATATTATATGAGTATTTCTGTACATGTAATTGCTTTGTTCTGAAAATTGTTATAAATGAATTAACATTTTAATTTTATATCATATATGTAATATATATTGTAAATACAGGTAAATGGTAACGCAGCTTCGCAGCAAACTAACTAAGCCTATAATCTAATAATCCCTATATATTATAAACCAACATATTCACATGTGTGTATTTGCTGCACTGCAAACTACCTTGATTAGAGTTTGGATTCTTGATTAATAAATTTTCCAATGTTTATTTTAGTATTAATTCTTTCACATTTATGACTTGTGTATGGTTTAAAGTTAATAACTAAGTAATATATTTTGGTTCTCCCTTTGCAAAATTATCAACATGGTATAAATAATAAATAGCCATTGAAAATTCATGCTGATACACGCATGACACATTGAAATGTTCTTTTGCCTTATTGGTGTAGTGTTGAACCTGAAAGTTCTATTCCTCCTGAACCTTTACCACCAGTTAATGAAAGCAGTCTGACTTTTGATTCTCCAAACAAGGAACAATACCTCACCTGTTAATGATATCAATGACCCTGCCAATTATATTTCCAAAAAGCTTTCTGATGATGACAAGTTATCTTTTCTGAAATCAAAATCTGACTTGCCCCATAACTTTGAATGTCCTGTTACAGCTGGTAGGAAATTCAAATCATCTTGGATGCAACAGAGGCCATGGTTGAGGTATAGTATTACAAAGGACAGAGCATTTTGTGCAGATTGTATATGCTTTGGAGGAAAGAAGAACATTCCAGGGAATACCTCATGTTCTTCAAATTTGTCCCCATTCGTGTCATGTGGATTTAGCAACTGGAAAAAAGCAACTGGAAAAGATAACTACATTGATCAACACATGTTAAGTGAAGCCCATCAGACTGCAGAAGAAATGGCCCATTGTTTTCTTGCCACGAGTCAGCCAGGTAAAGATATTGTAGCGAAACTATCTAAGCTTTTGTCAGAGCAACAAATCCGTACAAAAAAGGGATTATTATCTATCATCGATGTCATCATCAAATTGGCAATGCGAGGAGCACCCTTAAGAGGTAACTGGGTTAAGAAAACTGGCGAAGAAAACGGAAACTTTATTTTCTTTGTGAACTGGAAATCAGAATTTGACAAGGACCTGAAAGACCATTTGGAACATGCTTCAAAAAATGCAAAGTTCACTTCGCCCCGCATCCAAAACGAAATTATTTCACTGTGCGAGTCCATAATACGAGAGAGAGTAATTGCCACGGTTCAAACATATTGGAGTGTAATGGCCGATGAAACAACGGATGTTTCTGCAATGGAACAAATGAGTATATGCATACGGTTTGTGAATAGCAATATGGAAGTTTGTGAAGAGTTCTTGGGCTTTGTAAAATTGACAAAGATGGATGCGCAGTCTGTTTTTGATGTTTTGATTCCAACCTTAAAAGGATAGGGACTAGATTTGCCAGGACTTGTTGGACAAGGATATGATGGAGCGGCCGTGATGAGTGGAAGCAATAATGGTTTGCAGAAAAAAGTGTCTGATGCTTACCCAAATGCTGTTTATGTACATTGCCGTTCTCATGTTCTCAATCTAGCACTTGCAGGCGCTTGCACAGGTATTGATAGTGTTCGGGATTTGTTTGACAATGTAGCCAAGATCACAAGTTTTTTGGGAGATGGTGCTAAAAGAAAGGAAATGTTTAAACAGAATGCAGCGACTGAGGCCAATGACGAATTAACAGCCTTATTAACAGAGAGTGGTAATGATGACAACGAGGAGGAGGAGGATGAAGATGAAAACGACGATGATCATGGCCTTCATAAGTCAAATAAGGCAATCTTAAGAGGAGCAAAGAAGAAAACCGTTCCAAAGCTTTGTCCCACCAGATGGAGTTCAAGGGTGGAAACCCTATCTGCCTTGATGGCCAAGTATTCGTCGGTCATGGAAACACTTGAGCAAATCGCAGCCCAAAGCAAAGGGGAGCCGAGGCACAATGCCCAATCATACATTCGCCTAATGGAAACTCCACAGTTTATCGTAGCACTTGTTGTGGTTCAGTTCATTCTGAGTTTTACAGCAGCAGTCACCAAAATACTGCAGGCAAAAGAATGCAATCTTGGTGATGCATATGAAGAAGTAAACGGAGCAAAAGAATGCATAAGAGCTTCGCGCGCAGATGATTCCTGGATTAAACTGTGGGGAAAAATTCAGTCGATAGGAACAGCGCTTGGGATTGAAATAACTAAGCCACGAACTGCGGTAAATCAACGCCACCGTCCAAATGCTGGTAACGCCAACCAAACAAGTGAAGATTATTACAGAATCAATGTCTACTATCCTTTTATTGATCGTGTTGTTGAAGAGATTGAGACAAGATTCAAAGTCCAGCACAAAGGATTAATTGCTGCTCAGTCTCTTGTGCCTGTATACTTGGATAGACTAACTGATTTAAATAAGAAAGATTTGAAAGAGTTTTTTGGAAAGTACCTAACTTTCTGCGAAGAAAACAGACTTGATTCAGAAATTGTCAGGTGGAAACGAAAATTCGCCGATGTTCCTCTCAAGCAGAAGCCTAAAACTGCATGCGACGCAGCAGTGAAATGTGATGCTACATTTTATCCAGTGATCAATAAAATCTTGACAATTTTTTTGACAATTCCGGTTGGAAGTGTGTGCTGCGAAAGGTCGTTTTCAGCACTCAGACGCCTCAAACTGTGGACGCGAGCCTCGATGAATCAAGAACGTTTAAGTGGACTGGCAATGCTCATGATTCATCGAGACAGTCTGTGTATCCCAAGGCCAGAAGATGTGTATGCGCGGAAAGCCAATTGGCGCTTATGAACGTACGTATACACTCTAAGACGAGTTACGAGTCTAGTTACTGTAGATTATAAGCAATCGCAAGCCTAAATATGGTATTACATTGAGTGACTCACTGGTCGAAATGAGAAACTGTTCTTTGTCTTAGATTTTTGTTGGGTAATAAAATCTCGAAAACTAACGTCATTGTCATTTGGAATAGACTCAGCAAGCTTTGGGCCAATATTACTAAAATGATCATTAAAAATGTCGACTAATTCGTCGGTCGATGTAACAGTTTTACCTGGAAGTTTAATTTCATTAATCGTAGTCTGTTTTCTGTTTCGACCTAATATATCGCTTATTGTTCTCCAAGCATATTTAGGATTCTGTTTATTATTTGTGAATTTGTTTGCATAATAATCTCTTTTAGCACTGCGCAAAGCAGTGTTGGCAACATTTCTAGATGACTTATATAGTCTCCAGTCTTCTTCTTTGTCTTTATTGCTTTACGCTTAAGAGCATTCACTTTACACAGTCAACTGATCAAATAGCACTTTGTTCGCCTATTTTATGGTCGAAAGATTGTCTTTCATCCGTTCTGACAGCCATGCGTAAAATCGCCTTTCGACACTCGGCAATCACAAATCATACAGCGACACCTTCTACAATTCGGGGAAAAATCTGTCCATGCACATACAGGGCATGTACTCAATTGGGAGATGTATATGTATTTGTGACAAATGTTGCAAGTTGTGTCAGCAGCAGACGTATCCTGACGCGGCCACTTGTGGGCTATCACAGTGAGGACACGTTCACATATGATTAGGCTTTTATCAATTTACAATTCTGCAAGACCTTTTATAAATATGCTCAATCCAGGCAGTTCGGGAATATCTGGATGGTAAGGCATCACACAATATTTCAGAAGGTCTACAATATTAGTTCCTCGTATGTTATGTCCTCTGTAAATGATTTCTCCTTTTCCATTCCAAGTCAAAATCCCTGTAGACGTTAAAATAAAATGAAGGATTTCTTCAGCTTCGTTATCATCAACATCAAGATATTTAAGAATGTCTTCAAGTCTCCACCGTTCACGAGATGATCGTTTATCGCTATCCATGATTGGAATAAGGGGATGACCTTGGCGCTAATTATTTTGTACTAATTCTGCAAGGCCTTCTAAAAGTGGTCCAAGTATCAATCCTAGAAAGCCACTTCCTCGCTGAACAATAATTTCCTTTTTCGTTCTAAAACTTCTACTTCTAGCAGCTAAATTAGCTAGATCTTATTTGAAACGTCTGAGTTTGTCCTTCATTACTTTAGAGTATGTGAAATTTTCTATACAATGACACAAGCATCGAATTTGCTCAGTTGATGCAAAATTAAGAAGAGCTTGCAGTTGAGTTGGATGAGAAGTGCATAAGAGCTCTACAAAAGGCCTGTACACATCAAAATACGTGTCTCTATTCGACAGTTGGAGCCTAAATGGTTCATTTACTCGAGAAACATGGCTTTAAAAAACGATTTGGCGAACATAGATCGAATCGTTGAATCCAAATTGAATCTTTGAGTCCTAGACTATAGTCATGACTATAGTTTTGCCCGTAGTCATGCCTGTAGTCTTCATAGACATGATTATAGTCATGATAGTCATGACTACTGTATAGTCTTAATAGTCATGACTACATAGTTTTAATAGTCATAAATATAGTGTTGATAGTCATGACTATAGTCTTAATAGTCATGACTATAGTCTTAATTGTCATGACTATAATCTTGATAGTCATGACTATAGTCTTAATAGTCATGTCATGACTATAGTCTTAATAGTCATGACAATAGTCTTATTAGTCATGACTATAGTCTTGATAGTCATGACTATGGTCTTGCTAGTCATGACTAT